GTGCTATTATTAGTTGGTTTTCTCCTTGGCAAATACTTTTTTTTTAAACTTTTACTCTTTAAGTACAAACTTGCACCATTTTGAATTTTGTCCAGAACACATTTTAGAACTGGTTTTAATTGTAATTATTATTTTTTTAAATACTTCTAGGTGATTTCTTGAAAACATTGGAAGATCCAGACCTCAATGTACGAAGAGTGGCTCTAGTTACCTTCAACTCTGCAGCTCATAACAAACCTTCTCTTATTCGAGACCTTTTGGATACAGTTCTCCCTCATTTGTACAATGAGACTAAAGTGCGCAAGGATTTAATCAGAGAGGTAATCTCCCCTTTGTCCACAGACTTTTGCTTTACTGTCTTTTAAAACCTCAAAGCTCAATGACACCTGCCTCTTTTTAGGTTGAGATGGGTCCGTTCAAACACACAGTGGACGATGGTCTGGACATCCGGAAGGCTGCATTTGAATGCATGTACACTCTATTAGACCGTTGCCTTGATAGACTTGACATCTTTGAATTCTTAAACCATGTTGAAGACGGACTTAAGGACCATTACGATATCAAGGTAAGCCATCAGACTCGACTCATGAATCTTTCATGAGACACAGGCTTTTTGCCATGCAGATCATTTAGTGACCACAGAAGATGAAAGAGTGAATTGATTAACAAAGATTCAGTGTGCGGTCATCAAAGGCATAAATGCATAATGCATTCACAACAGACGTGGTCCAACTTTATTTTAAATGTACTTATTACCAGGTGTACTTGCATCATAATGAAGCGGGAACATTAACTACTGTTTTAATATAATTGAGTGCTTTGTACTAGAAAATATGTAAATTTATAAATGTTTCAGTTGTTTACCTGAAACTTTTAACTTACTTTTAACAGGAATTATCATATATAGTATTTTTCTCGCACGCCATGGGTATTTTATAGTTACAAGGAACTTCAGTGGGACCAAAAGTATGTGCATAGACTCATGAATCACAAAGGTTTATGGTTCTTTTTGCTCTATTAATGTGTTTACAGATGCTGACTTTCCTCATGCTGGCCAGATTATCTAGTCTGTGTCCCAGTGCAGTGTTACAGAGGTTGGACAGACTTGTAGAGCCGCTTAGGGCAACATGCACCACAAAGGTAAGCAAAATGTTCAGCAAACACCTTTGTATATTGACAGTGTTGGAAATCTAAATTGAGCTGCATCTAGCAGTTAGCACATAAGCTCAAACATCTGTGGTTTCCATAGGGGCAAAAGTTTGAATTCAGTCTGCCGTGTTTTACCAATCCTGTTCCCCATTTTTCTCATGAAATAGTGATGCCAATTCATTTGTCAAAAATTGTGAGTCGTTTGATTTCTAATTCTATTCTTTCTCAGGTTAAAGCCAACTCTGTGAAGCAGGAGTTTGAGAAGCAGGACGAGCTCAAACGATCTGCCATGCGGGCCGTAGTGGCCTTGCTAACCATCCCAGAGGCCGAGAAGAGCCCCCTAATGAGTGAGTTCCAATCTCAGATCAGCTCCAACCCTGAGCTGGCCGCCATCTTTGACAGCATCCAGAGGGACTCCACCAGCGCCAATATGGAATCCATGGACACCAGTTAAACGTCTAAGACAGCGTACCCGTTCCCGTCGCTCCCAAGAAAATCCACAAAGAAAACCAACCCTGGGGGACCCTTGTATTGTTCCATGCATTGCACTGAATCAAAAAATAGGAGGAAAACAAAATCTAAAGTTAAGAAAAGAAAAAAACGAATGAAAAGACAGACATTCGTTCTCTTAAGCTTCAAAGCTTATTACCACATTCTTTGTTTTTCTATAAACAACAGGAAATCGCTTTAGTTGTTCATTGTTCTCCATTCTTCTCCATTTTTTAAAATTTTTCTTGTTCATTTTCATAATTCCTGAGGTTCTGTAGATACCTCAACTCACAGGGTGCAGAGGGACTTGCTAGGTTACCTGAAAATGTGTTATCATGGGAGATTCGTTCTTTACATTCTAGGCTGCTGACGACTTAAATCGGTATCTACAGGGGTAAAGGATAGCACTCAGTGAGTTTGAATCATTCCAGGACCATATTTTTTTCTGTCATGTTTCTTATCAAACAGGTTTTATTAGGTTTTTGTACGATTTGAATGTCATCTCTCCTCTTTTTACTGTTGACAACTTAAGTACAGAACGAGATAAGTCTTCGAAATATTATCCCGAAGAGGAGTGGCATAGTTAGGGTATTTCATTGGATGAGTGACTGCTTATTTTTCCTTCACTGCATTTCATTACATTCCCACTGTCCGCAGAATTGCGAGTCATCTGCATGTGTCACACATCCAGAGAAATGAGCATTCAGCTGCACACGTTATGCATAATATTTTCTTTTTCTATTTGATGACAGTTTAGTTTGGCTCCAGCATATAGAGGTGTGAAATATGACATCAAACATTGTTATCAGAAAATATTGCCCTGTATGGAACTCACATATGTGAATAAAATGAGTGGAGAATATTCTCTCAGGTGCTCGACTGTATTCTAAAATCATAAGGGTGTTGTTCTCGCTGTTTAGATCCACTATTATGCTGCCTCATTCGAACTGCTTACCTGTAAAATTGGTTGGGAATATACATTTTTCTCTAATAGAACTAGTTTAATTTACAACAGTACTTTACTGTGTTTAGTGTACAGATCTCTTTTTAGGTATATCTGAATTTTGGGGAAAGGAACACCATCATAGATCTCACCATATAGCTGACCAATGGGTGACTGAAGTTTAAATCTGATGCCCTGGAATCCACCGTTTGTAGAATACACCGTCTAGGTTTATTTGTGTAGTCATGTATGCACCACTTTCTACATCCATTGAAGTATGGCAATGATCCTCCATAAGAAATCAATAAAAGGTCCATTGCTGCCTGCATGGCATTTTATGGTCCTTCAAGTTTAGTTAGAACCATCACAATGGCTGATGCATATTGCGCAGAATGATGACAAGAGCTGGCTCAAATTGCCAGTTCCAATTTGCTTTGCTGACTTGATATTTTTTTCTGCAAGTGAGGCCGTACTGGTTCTTCTGTCAATCCACCTGGAACCAAAGGTTGTTAAGAGTGGTGAACACTTTTGAACTACTCAGGATTTGACAAAGGTTAGTACCACTGTTTTGTTTGAGGCTCTTTGTACCTCATCTATATTTCATTTAAGTTGTCTATGTGTGAAATATGTTTGGACGCAGATTCTGATCCAAAGTCCATACACGTTTTCCATTATCTTTCAGTGTTTTATATACAGCTGTTCTTGAAGACTGCCACACTGTTATCTGAATTCATTGGCCAGAATAATCAGCAATATGGAGCGGAATCCACCGTTTGTAGAATACACCGTCTAGGTTTATTTGTGTAGTCATGTATGCACCACTTTCTACATCCATTGAAGTATGACAGTATGGCAATGATCCTCCATAAGAAATCAATAAAAGGTCCATTGCTGCCTGCATGTCATTTTATGGTCCTTCAAGTTTAGTTAGAACCATCACAATGGCTGATGCATATTGCGCAGAATGATGACAAGAGCTGGCTCAAATTGCCAGTTCCAATTTGCTTTGCTGACTTGATATTTTTTTCTGCAAGTGAGGCCGTACTGGTTCTTCTGTCAGTCCACCTGGAACCAAAGGTTGTTAAGAGTGGTGAACACTTTTGAACTACTCAGGATTTGACAAAGGTTAGTACCACTGTTTTGTTTGAGGCTCTTTGTACCTCATCTATATTTCATTTAAGTTGTCTATGTGTGAAATAATATGTTTGGACGCAGATTCTGATCCAAAGTCCATACACGTTTTCCATTATCTTTCAGTGTTTTATATACAGCTGTTCTTGAAGACTGCCGCACTGTTATCTGAATTCATTGGCCAGAATAATCAGCAATATGGAGCAGATTGTTCTGCAAGACTGGCTGTACTGCAACACCATCAAATTGAGCGCATCTTGGAAACGGTTTTGCATGAGTTAAAGAGTTTATCTTATATCAATCAGCTAAGAATTTCTGTTTTGTTTTCAGGAACGAGTAGTTGTAAAGTTACCATTACATTTATTTAGCTGAATGTGTTCCTGGTTGTGGTTGATTCATCAGCACTAGTTAGGGTAACAGTTTTCATTACTTGAGGCATTCAAACAAAGTATAACTTGGAAGCAAGCCGGAAATTATTTTATGATTAACGACAATGTGAGGACCTGGTCAGCTCTGACGTCTGTCCTCGCTCAGGCCGTGTTGTTCATTAGAAAAACAAAGCAACAATGCAAAGGTCATCAACTCTACCCATGCATGCTGAAAAATTCATTTTTATAAGCTCACAAAAACTTTAAAATATCAGCATTTTAACATGCCTTGGTGGACAAACAGGCTAATCTGAGAGTAGAAGAGATCTGAACAGGATTTTAATTCGGTTCTACTAGGCTTCTGGAAGCATGAAAATACATTAGCAGTTGGTTGTCGCTTAAATGAACCCACTTCCAATTTGCATGCTAATGAGTCACGCAAATGCTATTAAAGGCCAATTTACAGTGGCCTGATTTGCATCAGAGGTGTGAGGGCTAATGCACAGGCGTGATCATTCGCTCATAAGGACAGATGTTGGCCATCATCGTCGCTTCACGAGGTGTCCTCCATGTTCATGTTAATTTGAGATATTTCCACGAGTATCCCATGAAACTTCATATCGTAAAAAACAACATTTCAACCAAAGCTTTCTTTCTAAAAAAAGACTATAAGAAGCCTGTAGCACACAGCCTCCCTCTTCCAAACTGATAATATTATTGTGAGCAAGCCAAAAAAAGGCTAATCATCATTATAGATGAAATGTGTTTTGTAATGATGACGAAGTGTTTGTCTGCACTGCCCTATGGGAGATCACAGCAGGAGGCCGTAAAAAAGCACACTGCAGATTAATGCGTCCCTACTGCTGACAGATCCTTCATGGCCTGCTGAGCAGCTGCTTGTAGCTGCTTTAAAGCCTGAAGCTTAATGTTTCACCTCTAAGCCGGATTTAAACAATGCAAGGAGACCTCACCCCCTAAAGGGGAATATAACTCATAATGACTAACTAATGACGCTTACACTAGCTACGTGCCAGAGTAAAGTCTCTGCACTGACAAATGTCTGTATTTTGAGGGAGTTTCTCAGAACTGGAGCACGATTATGGAGTGCTTGTTAATTTAAGGTGGATGAAAGGTTTTTAGGGCATGTGATGAGCTCATTCTGTGGCCAGGCAACTGTGTTGTATAATATTATGCAAATAACACCTGTTTTATTTTGAGTCAAGGTTTGTTTTATTTGCTTCTGTTCTGATATTAATGTCCCTTTGCAAATCATTTCACAAAAAAGGGTTGTTCTCAACTCTCCGTGGGGTCCCGGGACACAACCACCCAATCAGCAGCTGAGAGAGCTTTGTTGTCTTGGATTTTGACTGGTCTGTTAAGGTGGTCATGGTAATGTCCTGATTTCAGTAGTTTGGATTGTCCTCAGTTTGTGGCGGCAGCCAGCCTTTCCATGGTCTTGTTGATATTCTGCATGCCCGTGGTAAGTTTTACGAGGTTTATCTTTATCAGATATTTTCCCAAATCATCCTGACATCAAAACAGGATATTTGGCTTACTCTAAAGTTATTTTGTTGCGTTTCAAGAACTTATATTCAGTTGAGAACTGCAAGGTGTGCAGTAAACAGTGTGCATTTTATTAAAATATTATGTTTCTTATGTTGTTGGCTGCAAGGCCAGAATACACTAATTTCTTTAGTTTCCATGGTAAATCTTCTTTAATCTGCCACTGACAAATTTCAAATGGAGAATAAGGAAATTTGAGGTTTATGTGGAGGGAAATAGGCAGGCAACACGCTTTATATTTCATGGTAGATTGTGTGTTTGATTAATATCTGAAAGCATGAGATTGATTTAAAACAATCCTGATGTATCAGTAGATGAATTATCTCCACTGTGGCTGAAAATATATTTTCAGTGCACATGCATTGGATTTATGCAATGAAACACCTATTTATATGTTAATGGACTTCTTGAAGACTAATGGAATTCTTGAAATCCTGTTGGTAAAGATAAGAGTGGAATTATTGCTCAAGAATATCTTTAATTAAACAATTATTTATAGGAGGGAGAGGTTTAGTAATATTCATTAAAGTTTATTTGGTAATTATGAATCTTATTTGGATCTTTATTTTTTGTGTTCGGGGTTCTAACATCTTGTTCTCTTTAAGGGTAAATAAGAATCAAGATGGGCTTTTCTGGCAAAGGCTTTCCTATGGATGCGAATGGAGACTGGTAATATTTTCTGTGCTGTTAATATGAAACAGTAATGCAAATATTTAAAAATAATGTTTATGTTGGGATACATTCTGTATATGGTTATAGAAGCCTTTAGTATGGCAAGAACAAACGATGAACATTTATAGCTAACATCACAGTTGAGGATACTTGTAATGTAAATGTATCAAATCTGATCACTTGCTCTGTTAACAGGCCCTCCAAAAAAATCAGGAAACACAGAAGTCAATCCCCTTTTCGTGATGTTTCACCTGTACCATCGCATTTCTCAGAACCAGCCTCATTCCTGCAACACAGGGTAAAACTGCAGAATCAATAAGACTACTGACCATTAAACTGTATATAAGTAGTTATATAATAGGTGGAATACTGTCGTAAAATTACCGCCTTGGTACATAATGAACCTATTCATCCTGTCATGATTTATTTTGCAGTAATGACTGGCTAACTGTACATTATCACACATTATATGGCAGCTAGTTCATCCCATGGATGTATGCACCAACTGTATTGTTTTGCATAGGATGTAACTGCCAGCCTTCCGTATCTCCCTGATGTAAAGGGGCCACTCAGGGATGAAGATGACGATGATGATGTACGGAGTCATAAGAGCTTGCCAGCGGTAATGACTGCACAAACCCTCCAACCCAGAGACAAGAGGTCATACAGACATTCTGAGAATAAAAACATATCTGGTTTACCCCCTCTCATAAGCGCCAGGTACTGAACACAATTTTTATAACTGGTTCCCTTCATAAGCAATGTTTTTACACCCAATATATTGTCATTTAATCACCCTCAAGTTCTAAATCTGAACTATTCCTATAATGCAAACACCACTAATTGTCAGTATTCAATGATATAATATTCTCAGTGCTGGTGTAAACCTATGATTACCAGGTGCAGTTTGATTGTGAAAGGCACTGGATGCAAAACTGTCCCCAAATTCCCACCAATCACCAAATCCTGGAATACTTGGAAGGAAACAGACCTCCCAAGACCCCCTTGTAGGTCTGGATGCAGGTAATGCCACATTTGTTCCTTAAAAAGCTAGCCTATGCAAGTACATTTCAAGTACATTTTATAAAAATTAAAGTCACGCCACTGTGGACTTAAAGCCGTGAGCTCATAGATCAAATCAACCATCTACTGACTGGCCATCTAAACCCTGACGATAAGACTTTGCAGCAGAATTCAGTGCCCTTAGCTTTTTTCATACTTGAGTATGAAAGGAGTAGGCAGGAGGCTCTTTTTTTTGTGCATGGTTTGACTTCGTTCTGCATTTAGGGTGCTGTTAAATTCACAGAACAAAAATGAAAAGGCACAGTCGATATCTTGCCCGGCAGATATATGCGGAGTCATTTTCTGCTTATTAATGATTTAAAGCCTGGTTAGTCTCGGCGTCACATGGGCAAGTATTTTTCTGCTTTCCTCATTTATTTGAGGCTGTGAGGTGTGAGGGAGAGAGAACAGAGTTCAGAGCTGAGAACTGAGAGGGAGAGAGAGGGCATGTAGATTTCTATTCACTTACTATCAGCCCCCACAGCTGGGCTAATAAACTGAAATTATGAAAAGTGTCCCAATAAAGTGGAATTACGCAGTGCAACCAACAGCAGTTGAGGTCTGCTTGTAAAGTGCAGAGAGTATGTGTAAATGCCTCACTTTGGTAGATACAGAACTTATGTGATTTAAGAACAATGAAGTCCAGATATATCTGCACTTGCAATGCGTTTCAGATGTCTCCGCTTGCCACGATCAATGCTAATGAATACAGTTTGTAACAGAACTGGTAATTGGATTTTGATAACCTTGATAACCTGATAACCTCTGCTGTACTGGAACATTCTGTGGCCAACTATGCAGACAAGGCTTTGAAATATATGTATAGTGATAATATAGTGATATAATTTCAGAAAAACAGAAAGCTTTAGCTAAATAAATATGTAATAAATCATTCTGGACCATTTTCATTGATTTCCTATTTAAGCTATAGACTTTTTTTGTTTAGACTTGTTTGTGTTGCTTGCATCTGACCCAAGTTTCCAACATTCATACTGAAAAGGCCAACTCTGTCACTAAACCTTTCTCCATTTAATCTGTAAATTTCTGAATTTTTTAGTGCATTGCTATGATGTTGCTAAAGCGTTCTGGTTAGTTAACCAAGAACAATTAACTAACAATTGTTAGAGTGTTTCTGCCCAGCTAACAGGGAATGTTCCCATAACTTTCACTAACATTCTTTATAAGTTATTAAAATGTTAGGACAAAACTTTCTTAAGATAATGTCTATTGAACATTCTTTTAATGTTATTCGCAGTTAATGATGTTCTCGTAATGTTGTGAGAAAATGTTCTTAGAGCAACATTCTTGGAACGTCCCTATGATGTTATTTGTACTTAATGAATGTTCTCATAATGTTGAGAGAAAACATTCTTAAAATAACATTCTCAGAATGTCCTTATAATGTTATTTTTATTTGCTGCAACCTTGCAACCATAGAGAGCATACATAAGTGGTGTGGAGGATAGATGGATGAGTAGAAGCAATGTTCCCAGGGCAATATTTGCAGGATTTTTGCATAACCAAGAAAAAAAAAAGTTTCTTAAAACTTTTGAAAAATTTTTTTTTTTTTTTGAACGTCAAGAAAAAAATTCAGAAATGAAAGTTTTCATAACATTTTCAAAATGACAGAATGGAATGTTCCTCTAACATTTGCATAAACCTAGAAAATAATGCTCTTAATACAATAAAAACCGGACATTTTGTATGTTAAAAAAAACATGAAAAAATAACATTTAAATAGCTTAATGGGAATTTTAGCAAAACATTCTAAGAAAGAACACATTTTTGTTCACTGGGTAAGCACTTACTAGTCTTCTGAATCGTTGTCAGGCATTTTTAGGTGGTCTGGTCATTAGATATAAGACATTAGATATCAGTCTTTAAGATTTTTTCCAGACAAAAGTATCTTTGCTTACAAAAGTAATAGCAACTGAGCAACTCAATTTGATGTATCGTTCTTTTTTTGAAGGACAACATAAACAATGAACACATGAAACATACTTAAAGTTTTGCAAGAAACTAAGCAAGCATCTGTTCAAGCATCAAAGTCTGCATGCTTGTTAGTTTTAAGCAAATAAAAGGTTGTGGAATTGAAATGTCTAATGATTCTTATTCTCTTATGAAAAAGGCCGGACAAAATGGAATTCAGTTCAGCTAAACCTGTTCATGCATTGATGCGTCCAAAAATTGTACCTGTCGGGCAGACGTCTCTCTCTTTCAAGGTGGATAGCGTTCAAGGAAATGGGCCCTGCTTGCTTCCTGCCAAAGCCTCTGGAGTGTCCCTGAGATCTCGACTCACTTTCCAAAGTCCTGCAGTGCAGGCAGTGTACCCTATCAGTCCTGACACCATGAAACAGATGAGGCAGACTGACAGAGCGTGCCAGCCCCTGAGGTCTGTGCTGAAAAAAGCACCAAACGGAGGAGTATTTGACTGCCCACTGGCGGCCCACCTGCTAGAGCCATTTTCTGGGTTCCAGGAGCATCTGTGCCGCCAGATCCTACATTCTCCACTGCCTTATCGTGCAGCTCTGCCACAGGTCCATTTTCCTTGTCTCCAGGACCAGGTTGATCTGTTTCCTACACACAGGGGCCCATATGGTTCCCTGATGGAACGCACCGTGGAGCTGTGCAACTCCCAAGGACAGAAGCTTCCCAAAATCACCATGACTTGCCCGACGCCTTCTCCAAAATACCTGTGCCGCACAGAATTTCAGCATGCGGCTTAAAGGAACAACCAAGATGGCTGCCTAGTAATCTGACATGCTTAATGGGACTTAAGTGCTGCTCTGTGCAGTTCAAAGTTAATATTGCTCGGTGTACAAATGATTACAAAAAGATCACCAAAGTTCACCAAGATCACCAATTCATTTTGTTCAGAGACAATAAAGCTAAAACAGACATCCGTGCAATCTCTTGGCACTTTTCCTGATTGCTTAGCGATTATTGGACTCACGGTCATAATGTTCTCCTGTGCACAACTCAAGTTATTGCTGTATAACCAATCATCTTTCATCTGGTTGCCATGGAAGCCCTAAGGATCATTAAACTGTCGGAACTGGACCCTGGGGGCTGCACTGTTCCACAGGTACAGGAAGTGCCTCTGAGGAGCATTATAAAGTCATGCCATACAATTTCCTGGGTGTTAAGATCCCGGGGTAGGAATCCTAAGTCTGTTTTACTGAGGAAGAATGTAATAATTTTTCTTTCCTCCACTTAGTTTCCATGGCATTTCTTTTTAAAATCAATAAAATTTTCTCAGTTGAGAAGAATCTACAATGTGATAGGAGGCCAAGGGCAATTTTTAAAGTTCCATCATCATAGCCTACTATAGATGTATCTGCCATTTTTTGGTATAATAATGTGTATTTGTGTGTATATGTACATGTGTATTTGCTAGAAGTAACTGTACCATTAATATACCTATTATAGAGTAATATTGACTTGTTTGAAGAAGTCACACTCATTACATCACCCATTGTCGCAGTGGTTGGGGATTATTGCAACATTTGAAAATTAACAACCTCCAGTACTGGTTCCAAATTTTTAAGTTAATCTTTCAGGAGCAAAATGTATTTAAAGCAATATAATACATTACATTATAAGTTACATTATAAAATGAATTATTTTATACTGATTAGTTGTCAGGAGATTCATGTTCATTGCACATTTGATCTGAAGTGTTACCATTGCTCCCAACATCGTTGCCATGCGGAAACCTTGTAAATAGAAAGCAATCAGTTTGTTTAGAAAATTTCTTAACAGTGAATTGATTTTACTCTTTCGAAGGTTAGAAGAGAATTTAAATGAGGATATGTTGAATATGTGTCATTGCTTCAGTGAATTTGCATTCTAAAGACATTGTTACAATTACTCTTGCCCCAACCCTTCAATTATTTACCATGTAAAGCTGCCATGTCATTTAAAAGTCAGTTCTAACCAGAATGCTTTATAATATTATATATTTTTTATTGTTTTACTTTTATTTAGATTAATACTGTTGAGGAGGAGAGGTTGTAAGTGATTTCTAATTATTAAAGGGATATGGGAACTTGGATAACTTCACATTATCGCTAAACTTAAAACAATGGTCCAATGACCAGCTGTAGTTTTTGACCCAGCACTGTGTTGTCATGCAGAAATAAAACATATATTTAAGTTAATTTAAAAAGCTCATTAATAATGCTGTTGTAAATCTGAATTAGGTTAAATTGAAATATGTTTGCATTCCCCCATCCTTGTGGTCAGCCCAGGGTGGGCCAAGATCATGATTGGGTGGACCAGACCCCCCTGTGGAGCCGAGTCTGTCTCACAGTGCTGTCAGGATGAATTCCAAGTGCACAGTCTGGAACGGAGAGGCAAAAATGTCACAACGATGAATTGCAAAGCATGTCTATGATCTCCACTATTTCAGCAATGAGGTCGGAGCAGAAATTTCACATTTTTCATTCTTTAGACAAAGCGCTTGAAATAGAGTGACACGGAGGTGTCATGAGGTGAGGAAAGGGACCTTGATACTGAAAAGGATAGAAGTGCTTTTTCCAACTTTGCTTTACAGTGATTAAGGCAGGAACATGTGTAACAACCTTAAGCATGCTTGTTTTCAAGTAGTAAGCAAACATGTCACAACCTAGGACTTCAGCGGCCCAAGCTTAGCTTCATTGCTGAGTCAGTATGTGTGTGTGTGTAAGTAAGCGAGCATGTGGCCTGTTTCTCAAGTCCTGTTTCTCCTGCTGTGCTTGTGTATGTGAGTAACAGCTCCCTGGTTTCACGCTCCGATTATCTGGTCAGATATCACCCATGGCTCTGTCCCCCACAGCCTTGTCCCGGTACTGCCCGACCTTTTTCTCTCCAACTGACAGGTATTCCTCTCATTCCTAAAGAGAATAATGGCGAACTGGCCTCAAGCTGAACACACTGACCCAACTGCCAAATGACCATAGAAAAATGTTCAGATTATTGTAAATTGGTACAATAATAACAACACTTTCTAAGGAAATCTCTAAGCAAATATAGTAAGTCTACTTCAGTGGGAAAGTCTCACTAGGGGAAAATATGAATAAATACATGAACCAGTTAGTGACCATGTACTGGAATAGATTTGCCACTAGAGGGCATAACAAGCCTTTTTCCTGGCAAACCTCAAGGGTTATATTGTGCAATGTTACTTGTTAACCACAAGATGACAGCATAATTCTTCTAATTAATTAGCAGATTAAAAAAAAATCTATAGCATCAGAAGAACTCCTTTGCATAATTACTAATCAATTATAGGATTAAAAATCAGGAGTGCTGTTGTGCCTGAGACAAATTCTTACATTTCAAGTTGAAGGATTTGTGTCTCACCATCTTAACTGCTGTCTCTGATTTCATATCTTTAGTTTCAAGAGTAATTGGTAACACTTAACAATAAGGTTCAATTTATTAACATTAGTTGCTTTAGGTATCATGAATATTTGTACAATGAACATTTTTATAGCATTTCTGAATTAATAAATATACTACTTTTCTTTGTTAATTCATAATACTTTAATGTTAAATTATATACAACTCGTATTAGTATATGCAGAAATTAATATAAATGTAATTTTTAGAAGTATTTTGCATTTTAGTTTATGACACCTAATGCATGAACTATCCTTATTGTAGGAGTAACTTACATCTACAGTAGTTTTAACAAAGCAGCTTTGCAATATCGAATAGTTCATTAACTATCAATAATTACTACTTTGGACTACAGTTTAATGATTGTCGATACAGAAAAGCCAATGTCAATAACGGACATTGGATTAACCTATTCTTTAAGCTTTTTTCCCCCCTAAATTTCAAAATACTTTGGTTAGAACATTAACTAATCAGTGTCTTCTGATCTGTGTAAGACCTGTTCAGCTGTAAGAAAAACTGCCTCTGCACTCTTAGATGAGCTTTAAACAACCCTGTTAAATAAGCCCTTATTTAGGACACAACCCAAGAGACGATTATCCATGCTTGTTACTTCTGACGCAAACGACAGCTTGCCTCAGTAGTTTCAGATAAGCTACCTGAAAGTTCACTCGAAACATAAAAGGGAAGGACAAACAAAAGTCCTCAGACAGCGTTTAATGGTGATGTAAAGATAATGCTTATGGAGGAAGCACAAAAGAGTAGGAGGAGGAAGAAGTTAATCCAAACAGACTGGGAATTTAATGATCATTTATGAATGTGTATTTCTTATGAAAAACAGTTCTATCTCAAAATTTGCTCAAAACATCTGCTACATTGCCACAAACTCGAAGTTTTTTTCCAATGTTTTCCTCTGTTTACTATTAATAGTAAATTTCTTTATTGATCTTTATTGTATTTTATATAACTGCTATTGGGATTCATAAAGCCAAAAATCCACTCCGGTCAAGTGCATCTAAAACCTGTTTACCAAATCACTGTAAGTGGCTTATATTTGTATTAAATGGATGATGTGAGCATTTGATGAAATAGTAAAATTCATCTGGTTTGATTGTTATTGTGAGAAAGAAACATATATGGGCAACAGCTGCAGTGCATTTACAGACAGCTCCCTTATGTGGAGGTCATTCATCTGCCTATCAGATTTCTAGTGAAATGTTAGGCTTACAGCCACAGTTGCTACTTCAGCATCAGACCCCCCTCCAAAACTGGAAGGCCACCAGTATAGTCACTAGGGCACACGCTCCAATTCACTTACAATGAGGTGTCAATCCTGTGCGTATGTACGGTGTATGCTCAGTGTCATATGATCTCAACTAAAGCATGTGCGTATGTGTTTGTACACTGACTCCTACAGATTATTGCCTGTCTAAGATTATCTAAGGCCATAGTGAAGCTTTCACCACTCGTCTGTTTTTGCTCTGCTGTTTGTAATCTATAGTTTGAGCTCCTCCTCAGTTCCATCCGAAAATGACATGCAACCAGCAGGAACAACACCTGTTCACGAAATACTGCATCATGCAATCTTTATCTCTCAGCGGGACCAGCACGCTCTTTTTGTGCATAGTGAGATTTTGCACTGTGCCAATGTGTTCACGTAACTTTCTATATTTGACTGCAAGCACAGCAGTGCCACAAATTACCACCTCAGCAGTCGGTATCAATTCGTGAAGATTACGACAGTGTCAAATCTGTAACTAGAAGACCTCTCATCAGCAATAACCAGAGAAAGGGTTACAGATGTTTCTAAAAGTAGCTGTTCTTCTTTCAATTAACTTTATTTGATTAACATCAGATAAAGCACAACGTATCATGATATACAGGTAACAATGAACAATATCAGTGTATTTAATGTCCGTCAATGGCCCTTTCTACTGAACATGGCCTGACTTGAATGTGGCAAATACTTTGCATCAGTCCAAACCTGTAAATGGCCGTATAGATGTGCTTTGAATATTTTATGGGCCACAGAACAAATGCATGGAACCAGAGAACCTCTGGCATCAATAGACTACTCATCACTACGGGTAGTAATGTGAATGCATTTATAGTTTAGCAAACGTAATGTAGTAAAACCATATAAAATCCAAGCTCATCAAAGCTTGGCATGGGAAACCTGATTCCCATCAAAAAATAAAGCCATTACACAATAACAGAAAGTGTTGTCTATGCAAATCTGCTTGTAGCTGATAAGGTTTGTTTGCATCATAAAAATTCATAGACCATAAATTTAGCTCATAAATGTATATGGTTGGTTCACCATTCCTGTTTTGAAAGCATAGGATCA